AAACCTAAGCAAACGTGAACCTGAGGTTCACGAGCACTTCTTCCCTCCTGGGGCTCCTCTCTGAGCCAGCGAACGGGGCCAGGGCGAGTGTCCGTGGCCACATGGTGACTGAACGTCACCCGACTGCTGCTGCTGAAAAACCTCCCCCGCTTCTCTCGCTGCGCTCCGGTATTTTTAACCCGTGTGGTCTCCCTTCGAGCACCATCTCTTGGCTTCTTCCGTTTTCTTCTGACAGCTGCCAAACATATATTAGCGGGAGGACTGAATTAAAACAACCCGTACACTTTCACCAAGATGGATCCTACCGCTTTCACAACCCCCAGCCCCTAGGAAGATGCCTCTGTTTCAAATAAGTGACCTGTTTTTTTAAAAAACACCACCCTGGTATCAACAGCTACGCTCACTCATAACTAGTAACTACTTGTGTTACCAGAAAGCACAAATATTTGTACTCTGACCTCAGCTGCTAGGGCCTGATAAGTCATTAACAGTTTGGTGTACGTGTTTACAATAGACATTTTAGGTATGTTAGGTAATGAGAGCAAATTCAAAGTCCGGATGAGACCTACTAAGTTTGTTTGGAAAAGGACCTAGAAAACTCAGAATGTATCATCATTCTACCAAAAAATAAATACATATGCAGAGAGTGTTCAGCAAGAACCTGGGACTCATGAAAACTCCAAGTTTCACTTTTTTATTCACATTTTAATGTCTCCTTAAGGAAATATATTCATCTTCTACTTGCATCCTCTCATCATCAGCAGCTTGTATTATTTATAAAGCATGTGGGACATTTACACAGATGGAAAAAAAAAATAGGTCAAACCTGAAACAAAAGCCAAGGCATTCATTTTCATTAGCAGATTATGATGCAAAACTGTGAATTTTAATTCCAAGTAATGAAAACATTGCTGCAAATTGTCTACCTTTCATTGCTATGTTACTAAATGTCTTGATAAAAACAAACCTGATAAATATGTTTGCCAAGCTACTTTGAAAATGCACCAAAAAAAAAGGATTACTTAGCGATCATAAGCAAACCCCTATATACTTCTAGCAGACAACATGGCAGCCCATCATGTCCAAAACATTCACTAGATTAAGAATATTTGGAAAATGCAGTCCTTTAGTTTGCAAAGATTCTGCATTTAAAAGTCTATCCCTTTTTAGACAACAAACATTACAAAACTCACACTCATTTATTCGTGTTCCTTTTGCCTTCTGCATAACCACAGTAATCACTGCCAGGCAATACACAGCCAAACACAAACTAGTGCACTAAATTTACACGCAGCCCTTCATGTATAGATGTCTTAAAGATTATTTGATTGCTGCCACCTATTGTTGCTCTAAACACATTGCAAGCAGGTGAGCATTTTCCCCTTCTACCTCCACGCAATGCTAGTACAGAACCTCAAAGAATGCAAATGCTTGAAGAGGTACTAACTGGTCATACACCATATTTTAAGATAAAGAAGGATAGAATGCGAGGAAAAAATGAAGATATTGCAAAAAGACTTTTTTGGATAAATTTTGTTTGGTAATTCAACTGTAAACACAGTACACATCAATTTATTAATGGAAACCAAGCAAAACAAAGTTAGGAAAAGGGAACTGCATCAGATACCAGAATCAAAGAGGCATAGGAATGAGTATTTCACAGACCACCAATTCGACAAAAAATCCGGTTTAACCGATTTCAGACCTTACAGCTTCCCTCAGCATTCCTATTTCATGTCTGCTACTGCTGAATAATCAATTGGTAAATACATCTGGGCATAAGGGTTACAGAAGAAACGAATATAGCAGTCTCTGGAAAGATCAGCCATGGGTAACTCACTGCCTTCCCTGTGCCCTTTCAGCTAAAAGTTATAAACTCTGGCCCATTCCAAAGAACACAAATCACCTGAGCAAACACAAGCTAATGGAACAGTTTTATATATTAAATGCAGACATACATATATATATACATATAGTGTGTGTATATGCATATGCACACATATATCTATCCATGAATCCGAGTTTTGCAATCCTTCAAGAGTTGAGATGGAAACTTTGCAACTGAACAGAAAATCTGGGATGCAGGGTAGGATACAGCTCCCTCACCGTTTCATCACGTTAATTCCCCGAGCATCATGCAAAGAATTTGGGGAGGTGAAAGGAGACTTCCCTCAAGTAGTCAGTGACTCCCCTTTTGCTAGTCCGCACTCTTAAAGCCAAAACACAAACCCAAGAACTAAGTCTGAAGGTAAAATTTTGGACTGTTTCAAATTTATAAACCCAAATTCACCGACTTTCTGCAACTTTAAACCTTTAAATATCTGTAAGTAAAGATATAGGCAAATATTTACAAGTCTAAGAACAGATTTGCCACTGGATGAAAAGGCACCTAAATTATGGTAACGTGTTGGCCAAGCCCTAGCACATAGCACCACACAGTCACACACACCAGTGACAAGAAACTCACACCATGCAACGTGTGGGATGCTCTTGCTGAAGCACTGCAAATTTAAGAGCCTAATTTTCAGGATGCATCTCTGAAAACATCAGCATAGGTGTCCAATCCGGCCACGTATTTATAAATATAATTTATACATATAAATATGGTGTTTATAAATAAATATGCAGCAACTTACAGCAATCATTAAAGGAACCACTGCTTAAAAATCAACCATTTGGACAGTTAAAAATTCCCAAGCATATCAGAAATACAGATGTGACAGAATAACCTCCAGTCGCAGCCAACAAAAGGGTCAGTTGTTTGAAGGGTTCATCGCTTCTGATCTGTCACTCCAACTCTCTACTCCAACCCAGGCCATTTCACACATTTAAATCAAGGCCCAGTTCTGACACTTGCTAATGGATCAAAGCCTCCTCTGCTCCACACAGCTGCACTTACGCAGCACCGCTTATTGTGCAGTCTTTATGTCCACATTAGCACTAACAATCCTCCATCAAAATCCATTTAAAGCTTAATTTGGCTTTGAACCCACAGATTCAATTATACCTAAGTGGCTAAAATGGGATCTGGCACAGGTCCTTTCTGTTCAGGCTCCAGCGCAGAGCAAAACTGAAGCATCTATTTGAGAGCACATGAGAAGGAGGCACAGCCTCAGCAGATGTGTGGGCTAGAAACACCAGCCATCAGGTGGCCACACTTTTAAAAAGGCTTAACCACACCATGAAGTTGCACCTTAAATCTCAAGAGAAGAGGATTTAAGAAACGCCCGTTCTCTGTCATCAAAACTCAGTTCTTCGATATACAGCCAATACAAGGCTGAGAAATAGAGATAAAATTGAGGTAGTCAGATCCCTTATAAGCCTAAAAGAATCTAAAATCTACCCCTTTCTTTAGGCTTCGAAAAATCTTCTTTTCATTCTCCCTTTCATCTCTTAACTAAAGAAACAGCAACAGGGAAGAAAAGAGCTCCAAAGTTAGGGAACTAAGAAAGAGTGGAAGAGAAAATTCCTTTCCAGGTCCCCTCAGATAGAAGTCAGTCCTGCACTTAAGAAAAATATCCAACAGTTAAATGGTGGCATTATATACCCACAAAGTCATATGATATGCAAGTCATCTCCCACTACCTCATCTACTGAAAGTTCATGGGAATTAAATGCATATTAAATTGAATTTATTTCAAAATTGTCATGTTTTAATATACTCGTGTAAACCAGAACTTCTTTTGAGGAAGCCAAGCAATATGCACGTATTCCCTTGAATCAGTCTATCTGCTCTGACACGTTTCACTTACTGCTTTTCAGAATTTATTCAATCCCTGAACACATCATTCCAGACACTACACCTCTCGGAATGTAACATGGTGTTATCAGGATCCCACAGAGCAAGTATGTAAGTATACTGAAGTTAAATATTTTTGCCTTGCTGTATTATTGTCTGAATAAGTTTTCAGATTTGGTGATGAACACCAAGAAGGTAAAGCTATTTATCCCATTTAAACTGAGCAAGAGGTGGGAAAAAAAAAAAAAAAAAACCCACCAACTTTGATTAGGACAGTCCTGATACACACACTCATCTACTCAATAATAGTCAGTGGGAAGACCATTACTTACACATTATACTTACTTAAAGAAAGGCTAGATGAGCATACCAAACAATAAATAGCTGAGAAACCCCCTTCTTATGGGGTAAATATCTCTTCAGAGAATCAAGTTTAAAATAAGAGACTTTTCCTTATCATGATCAGACATTCATTTTCCTTTTGCTATCATCAGATGTTGTCTGTGAGCTCAATGCCCTGCTGGACACCCATCTCTCTCTTTTTCTCCCCGTACTGTGACCCTGTGTCCCGTGCTCTGCGTGTCCCTGCTGGAGCAGGGGGTTGGACTGGATGATCTCTAGAGGTCCCTGCCAACCTCAACCGTTCTGGGATTCTGTGACACTTTCTTCTCTTAAACAGCTTCTATTTACTAGGAAACACCTTCACATAGGGCCTGGGGGCTCACTCTACCCCTGCCTCTCCTACTGCTCTAACACACAGACAGTATACAAAGCAGACTCACATTTAGACACATTTCACACCCAAGATGCAGTAAGGAACAAGTGAGGTATTAGTCAGTTCTTCTTCTTTAGAGCACTAACAGAGCTGCTTTAACCCAGAGGCCAGACCAGAACTGGCTCAAATAGGTGAAACTCTCGCAGCAACTGCAACGCCTAAGATGCTGCCCCTAAACCAGCAAACTTGTCCAGACCTGAACGCGCACCTCTCTTCTCTTGCAACTGCTTTTTCCAAAGATTCCACAACACCATCCACACATTTAGCCAGACAAATCACCAAAGGATAACTGAGATCTAATTGTATTTGGGGAATACAACCCACAGGGGGCAACCAGAAACAGCAAACAAGCTACTGCTCACCGCACAGCTGGAGGGTCTGAGCCGCTTTCATCTTAAAAAAACAAAGTCGAGTGATACTTTGCCATACCAGATGTTAAATTGTCATTTTAGGTGAAATACCTGCAGTTTTGAGGGATGAACTTACAGTTTACAATGTCACCTTGCAGCTGAAGAATTTGTGGAACGGGCATTGTGAGAATAACTATATCAAACAGTTCCGGTGACCCCGTGTTCCTGGAGACTTCCCATTTCCCATCTCGAAGACGGATTTGAGTTACGTGATGTTCAAAGAAGACATCCGCACCTGCTTCAAAAAAAGGGAAAGTTAAACACACGTGATAGTAAAATTGACAGAAAAAAAAAGGGCTTTCCCCTCAGTAATTGGAAGACAGCGATGTTTAACAAGTTATGCAGCTCAAATTTCTTCTTAATCATCTATGCAGAGTATAGTCCCATTCCTCCTGAATTACGACTGTCCTAGTTGTGTCAGATCTGACTTCCACACACTAATGCAACAACATAAACATAAGTTTGATCCTTGATCTTAGGCCATGGGCTTGTGCCTGCACTTTTATATGTCAGCAGTGCAGCTGAAGCCAGTGAAGAGCCTGCAGGACTCAGAAATCTGCACAGCTTACAGACGTGTTCACCCATTTAGGCAACCTCAAGGTATGCATAAATGACGAACTCAAATATCCTAATTGGAAATTTTAAATATGAAAAGCAGCTCCAGAACACCATCAAAACACAACTGACAACTCTCACTCCAGGCAACGGCATCTCAAAATTACCTGACTTTTTCAAGTAATACTTGACAACCGAGGAGCTGCCCTGGGGTGCCACGTAATTGCGAGTGCCTTCTTTCACCACCATGCCACCATGGGGGCCGTCAGGGGTTCCAGGACGCCATGAGACAGAAGCTCCTCATAAAAGCTACAACAGAGCAAAAAAACACAGATGAGTAAAATCCGTTGTGTGAAGATGCACAGTGGTGGCCATTTCTGATAGCTGAAGCCCAAACAGGGGTAACTCCTAAGTTTACAGCTTTTACCTGCGTTTACAGCTATCTTACCAGGGGCAGCTTTTTGTAAGCAACCAACCTGTCTATGTCTTCTGGAATATAGACGTGTTAGAAAGCAGCTTGTCTGAAAGGTTTCCCTTCAGCTGGGAATTTGGAAGGGTTAACGGTGGAAGAAGTATGAAGAAAAGGTATTTAAAGCTTTGAAGATTTGTACAAACGGACTCTCCTTCGCCGTGGGAGTGCAGGACAGTTGCTGGATGTGGGTGTCCGAAACACACCTTTCACACAACACGGGGTTATCACAGGCACCCTGCGTCGCCTACAACTTACACCCTCGTTCCACCACTGCCCCCTCCGAGTCTACTGCAAACAACAGCGCGACACGAGCAAGTTCAAACAGGTCTCCGAGCAGCATAAACGTGATTTTCCTCCACTTCTGCGGCCAAGTGACACCTCTGCTGCGGGTGGAGATGTTACAGCCCCACAAAGCAAGGGACTAAATTAAAAAGAGTTCTCATTTGGCTCTGTATTCCCCTACCGGGGAGGGTGGATTGGCAAAGTGGATGCTTTTCCAACAGGCCTGAAATGAATCCAAGGGGGGACTGGAGACACCGCCAGTTAAGGCGAAGGCTGTTTCACAGCTGGACCTGGCCAAAAATCGATCCGAACGCCAGCTGCGTGCAGCGTGAGGGGACAAAACACACCCCAGGGTGTAAGGCAGTGGCCGAGTGCTCCGCAATGGGGGCTGCTCCCAAGGGCGGCTGGGGACAGCGGGGAAGGGGGGATGGTGGGGAAGGGAAAGGAAGGGATGCAGGGTTGGGGAAGGAGGAGATGCAGGGGAAGGAGGGGACGCAGGGGAGGGGAAGGCGGCGCTCACCTGCGGCGCGGCGCGGCCGCTCGCCCCGTCTCCAGCGTGAAGTACTGCGCGCCCAGGTCGGCGGTGGCGCCCGCGCGGCGGCTCGTGCTCAGGCGTCCCCCTGCG